AATACTGCCAGAAGCCCAAGCCCCTGGGCCAGTGAGAGCATGCGAGGTACGGTACGACTGGCCACCCTCAGATCGTGATCTCTCGAAGAACATGTCGATCGACCGATCACAAAACATGCCTCGCACCAGAAAAAACATGAATGAAGGTCCGCTCCGTTGCGGCAGCTCGTCACCACCAACCGCAAGCCCAGAGACCGCAAGCCCAGAGATCTCCCAAGTGATGCGTGCGTCTGCAAAAACGAAGGCTTAACCGCCTCTTGTTAAAGCTTCTGGGCAGCGACGTTGTCCTGGGGCTTCTGGAAACTTCCAGAGGTCTGCGGAGGTCCTGGAGGCCTCCACTGGTTGCCAGAGAACAAACCAATGTGCAACACGCAACAGAAACAAAACTCGACCCTCAAACCTCGACCCTCGACGACGACAACGACGCCATTGACGACGACGGCTAGACGCCTCTGACCACGGCAAGAAGTCCTCCCAGGAGAACGTGTCCTCGCCAGCCTTCTCGTCCAGCGACTTCTGGCCTCCAAGCGGCGGTCTGAAACACCCACCCGGCGGCAGTGGCAAGCAGCGCAAGATCACCAAAGACATGCACAGGTGGCGACAAGAATGCTTCTTCCATGGCGCTGCGTGGTGCACCCTGGCATTCCATACTGAAGGGGCCCCTGGACACACAAATAAATACACACATATAAAAAAATCCCCATATTTTCCTGTATTTTCTGGGTTTCTGTCTTCCCCCCACTTCCCATAGTTTCCCATATTTTCTTGGGAATCGACGATTAATTGTGTCTGTGTGTATTTTTCCCCTCCTGACATACGCGTGGCACAGATGACACCCAGAACTTGCTATTTTCGTCTCGCGAGGGCAGCAGCCGACAGGTGCCACGCCCAGGCATCAGAGAGATTGCCTCGCGACAGCGAGCCGTGCCGCACGGACGGCGACCGACAGTGAAGACTCCCACGGTGACGGTGCGGCAACTTACTGCTGCGAGGGAGAAGGCGAGGCGAGGCGAGGCGCCGACATACGTCCAGAAGGACGGCCCTACGAGAGCATGGCGGTTGGGCCGTAGCCCAGGATTCACTTTGGATCCCTGTGACTCATGAGTGTGACTCATGCTGCGAGGGAGAAGCTTAGAGCAGACAGAAAAATTCAAGCATGGGGGGAAGATGTGGGCGCTGACTGAACACAGCGCGGCCACATCGCCTCGAACGTCGGCTCCACCGCAAGATCCAAGGGGTCACAAATACACCACCGGGATCATCGGGAGCAGGAGGGAGCCAGAGAGAAGGCAACGGAGGAGCCGAGAAAGGAGGAGGGGCGAAGGAAAATCGAGCCTCGTACAGCACGCATAACGCGTTGCGGCACAGCTGCGATGGGGAGAATTGCGCTCAACTCTTTCGCGGTTTTCTGCGAGAAAGTTCGGCGGGCCATGGGCCTGCGGCCGCCTTAGTGTCTGCGGTGCCCAAGCCGGCGACCAAAAAAGCACTTCATCCCTGCCCTCTTTGGGAGTTTTTCTTCTGTGTCCCGTTCTCCTCGAGTTTTGCGCCGCGTGGGCGGCTTGTGCTTCGTTGTGTTAGCTAGTGCACCGTTTGCTTTCCCCTCCTCGGGTCATTCCGGGCGAGGCCCTCCTAATGAGCCATAGTGGGAGTCCGCGGCTTCGCGTGGTGGATTTTCTCAGGCACGCGTAGTGTTCCCGCTGCTCTCCCCATCTCCTCCTCCTCCTCCTCCTCCTCCTCCTCCTCCTCCTCCTCCTCCTCCTCCTCCTCCCGCCTCCTCTGTATGGTAAGGCTGGCCTGTCCAGGCGAGCTGGGAAACAAGCCGTGCCTTGGACTCGGTGCGCAAGTGTTGGCTCCGTTAGTGCTGTTCCCCTCTCTCCCTCGTTTCCTCCTCTCCTCTCTTATCACATGTTGAGTTGGTTTTGTTGATTCGGCCGTTTAGGCCATTCAATAGAGGGGTTACCGAACAATGGGACCGAACAACACACTGACATACCAAGGGGTGGTGCATTTGAAGGGCAAATTCGTATCATGCACCATCTGGCTCCCCTCCCTTTTCCTGATCCTCCTCCTACTCCTTTTCTCTGTTCATGTTGTAGGCGCAGGATGTATGTTTGGAGTGCTGAGCGTCTGTGCCCCTCACCAGTCTGCGTGTGTGGTGGCACTCGGTTTCCGGGTTCCTGGGTTCCCAATTCTGGGTTCTGGGCCGATTTCGGTGGGCGGCTGCGTTCCTGGGTTCCCTGTTCCTTGTTCCTGGCTTCCCGGCAGTGTAAAATCGGGGTTCCTGCGGGGTTCCCGGTTCCGGAGTTCTCGGCAGTGTAATGTTGGCTGGGTTCCAAAGATCCCAATTCGGTGGGAGGCTCCGTTCCCGGGCTCCCGGTTCCCGATCCAGGGTCCCCGGCAGAGTAAGGTTTGGTGGGTTTCTGGCTTCCTGGTTCTCGTTTCTGGATTCCTGGCAGCGAACGTTCTGGGGTTTGGGAGATCTTGGTTGTGGCCAAGCGCCTGATTGTTTATCGTAAAGAAGACCGGGGCCAGAGAGTTGCGAGCAGAGCTCACCAGAAGGATTGGGGAGGGCGAGCGGAAGAGAGAAAGAGAATAAGTGTGCGACCACTGTTCGATGCATCAGCGAAAGATGGACGTAATACATGTAGAGGGTCCATATGAGAGAGTTTTGGGCGAAGTTGGGTGTAGAGAGGGAACGAGAGAGGTGCATGGAGAGAGAGAGGGGGAGAAAAGAAAGAGAGAGAGAGAGATACACACACAACCAAACAAACAAACAAACAAATTCGCCGGCCCAACGGGCCAGGGCGTGCTAAGATCTCCGGTAACTGGTTAACAGTATTAACAGTATTTCTAGTTCGCGCGCGCGGGGCGGCCCCTGGGGGTCCCCCGGCGAAAAGTACCCCGACCAACGCCCGACCGCCGCCCGACCGCCGCCCGACCGCCGCCCGACCACCGCCCGACCAAGTCTACTCAGAGATGGTTTTCCTTCTGGGTGCGGCCTCTCAGGCTCCCCAGAGCGCGCTCAGAGTGCCCCAAGAGGCCCCCAAGACTGCCCAAGAGGCCCCCGAGACGCCCAAAGAGCGCTCGAAGACGCCGAAGATGACCCCAAGACGGCCCAAAAGGCCCCCAAGACAGCCCAAGAGGCCTCCAAGACGCCCCAAGAGCCTTCCAAGAGGCCTCCGAAGAGAGCCCCAAGAGGCCAAAATCGTTGATTTTCATTGGTTTTTTCTATGTTTTTTGTGTTCTGGCTTTTTCGGCTCCGGACGCTCCCAAGACGGCCCAAGAGGCCCCCAAGAGGCCCCAAGACGGCCCAAGTGGGGCTCAAGAGGGGAACCGAGAACTGAAAAATCGAGCCCTCCGCCCCAGAAGGCGCCCAGGAGGCCCCAAAAAGGCCCCAAGAGGCCCCCAAGAGGCCCCCAAGACGCCCCAAGAGGCGCCCAAGAGGCCCAAAAGAGGCCCCAAGAGGCCCCAAAACGGCCCCCAAAACTCGGCTAGCCCACAACGGTGCGACAATATGGGCCGGCGGAATGAGCGAAGCGATTAAATAAACATACATACATACAAACAAAAACAAATACATACCGAACACAGGTTGATAGAAATGTGCAGGCAATACCAAGTAAACAGGGACCAGATGCATACTACACATATACAACAGAGCGAAGGAGAGAGAGAGAGAGAGAGATTGTTTTATCTTATATAAAAAGTAGAAGAGTAATTATTATTTTTTTTTTTTTTTTTTAAAAAAAAAAAAAAAAAAAAAAAAAAAAAAAAAAAAAAAAAAAAAAAAAAAAAAAAAAAAAAAAAACACAAAACAAACAACAACAAAAAAGGAAAAAAGGAGAGGGCAGGCGCGGAGTGCACGCGAAAACTCCAAGACATCAATCGATTTGGGCTTTCCCTGGTGTGATGACGCCTCCGGGGCCTCCTGCCTTCGCGGTGCATGTCGGGGGCCAAACGGCGTCGCCGAATTCTCGAGGTGACGCTGCAGCGAGCTTGACGTTGGCCACCTGCGTCTGCCTGCTCCTCCTCCTCCTCCTCCCCCTCCTCCTCCTCCTCCTCCTCCTCCTCCTCCTCCTCCCTCCCTCCCTCCCTCCCTCCCTCCCTCCCTCCCTCCCGGCAAGACGAGTTGCCAGGGCAGCGAGAACTGCCTGGCGCGCTGGCCGAGAAGCGCAGTGCACATTGGAAATGGAAGGCGGCACTGTCAGCACACTGGTGCAGTGCTGAAAAGCTGTGCCACAGAGGGGATGCGAGTGGGACTTGTAAACTCTGCCTACCTACAAGATCGAGGCGCGTTCCACATCGGATTGCAGAAGGTGGCGCTCCAAAGGCCAATGTTGGCTGGCCGTCAGGTCACAGGCGCATCCTCGCCGCGCAGGAGTACGCCGATCCGGTGTGTGAGTTTCCAAAAGCCTACGCTGCAGCCCACAGAGTGAGCTTGAGCTCTGCTGGGCGGGGGGGGGGCCGGGGGAGCTCTGCCCGGGAAGGGGGGGGGGGCCTGCTCCGCCTGTGCTCCGCTTTCTGGGCGAGGCTGGGACACATAAGAATCAGCCAAATTCCCACCCTGGTGGCCAGAGAGCCCAAAATGGCCGCCAGATATTTTCCAGACAGCTCAAAATGCGCCCAAGATGGCCCAGGATGCCCTCCAGAAAAGGCCCGAAGGGGCCCGAATCATTGACTTTCTCTATGCTTTTGAAGGATTTGGGCGCTTCAGTCTTTTCGCCCTTCTGAAGGCCCCAGAGGCCCCCAAGATCGCCCCAGAGGCCTCCAAGATAGCCCTATGACGGCCCAAGAGGCTCCAAAGACGGCCCCAAGAGGCTCCCAAGGCGCCCCCACAGGTCCCCAAGACGGCCAAGATAGCCTCCAAGACGGCCCTGAAGCGCCCCCAGAGTGCTCACAGACGGCATAGCCAGGCGCCCAAGACGGCTTCCGACGGCGTCCCCACCGACGGGCCAGGAACGTCCTAAGACAGCCAAGAAGGCTTTCAAGAAGCCCCCGAGAGGCTCAAAGACCCCCTCAAGAGGCCTCCTCCCCCCCCCACCCCCCGAGGCCCCTAAGCCACCCCCGAGAGGCCCTAAGAAGCCCCCAAGATGCCCCCGCGAAACTTCCAAGAGGCGAGGATGCGGACAAAAAGGGCTGTTGCACAGGAGCGGTGGCGGGGTTTGCCGCAGGCAGCTGGATGTTCAGACAAATGCACTGCATGTTAAGCAGAACGATCCAGCAAGGACGAACAGGATTTGCCCTCCCATTACAGCTAGCTCTGTATACCATAAAGGTGGCAAGAAATCGGGGCGAAAGGAGCTCAATTGCATTCTTGCTGCATGCTCGTCCAATCCTGCAACATCCAAGACACCAGCGCTGATCATCAACCTCCTCCGGACCGCCATACTGACGGCCACCACCAGGCAAGCTGCATACAGTATTCGTTTGCACATGCATTCCGCGCACGCCAGTTCGCAGAAGATGCAAAGGTCGGCAGCGAACCACAACGCGCACAACTTGTGCGCCTTCCTCCGTGCGCTGCTCATCTCAACGTCATTGAGGAGCCCGAATAGGATGCACTCTGTGGAACATGCTTTCAACGTTATGAGGAATGTGGGCCAACTTTCTCGTCGCCCCGTGAGCTCTAAGATAAGCAACCATCCTATCCGCTTGTACCTGGCGGTAGTAAAAAACTGGCGTAGTATACTCTTGCTCCTCCTCCTCCTCTTAAGCTTCCTGAGTCAGAGCGACTACGCGTAATTGAAGGTGGCAATTCACTGTGACGATACTCTGAATATATTTTGGCCAAGGGGGATGCAGTTGACTGAGATATTGCCTGCCTGGGGAGCCGCAGTACCAAGCGAGATGGCGAGAATTGTTGTGCCTCCTGCATTGGTTATTACGCTCCTGGCGTTTCTTGTCCGATGCCGGCTTGTGCCCCTTCCCCCTCCCCCATATCCCTCCCGCCCCTCCGTCAAGCGTTCAGCCCTCCCGTCCCTATGCCAAAGCACCCTTCAACAACCACTCCAATTACAATAACACTATCAAGCATGCTCCAAGTGTCAACCAGATGGCCTCCATGTCCTCGTCAACTGGGGCACATCCGCCACGGTGCCGCAGGCACTGGCGAAGCGTCCCCAGGTCCTCCAATGATCCGCAGTACAATGTGGCCGAAGTGAACCTCGCCCCTCCCGCCGCCCCACCACCCACCCACCCACCCGACATGCTGTGTGCGCGTATGCGGTTTGTCTGTGTGTATGTGTGTGCAGTGCTTGTGCTTGTGTGGCTGTTTTGTTTGTAACTGTAGATGTGCTTTTACGTGTTTGTGCTTATGGTTGTGATTGTCTTCGTAGTTGTGTGTTGTGATTGTGGCTGTGATTGTGTTTGTGGTTGTGATTGTGTGTGTTGCGTGGGCCTGTCGTCAAGGGGGGTACCCAGTCTGGCGTGCGCTCTCACACAAGGTGATGGGCTTAATTTGCTACGAACATGACTGATTGCAGGTGGACCCGCGATTGAATTCTCATGGGGGTGCTGGAGAAGCGTAATGTGGCCACAGGCCTGCGAACTCACGGGTGCTGGCGGATGCGGCGCCAACCCCACGAATGCACTTCAGCGAGCAGTAGGCGTACTTGGCACTCCCACACCGCACCACGACGCTGAGAGACGCCGGGAACTGTGGGACTGCACCTGAGGCCGCACAGTAGCCCAAGACCCACGCGGCGAGCGCGCACGGAAGACCCCGCGCGTCAGAACGCGACAACTGGTCCATGTCGAGCGACTGACACCATCCGATTTCTCCGAAGACCTCGGGAGCGGCCAAGAGGGGGGTGTCCAAGATGGGGGGGGCGCAAATCATGACCGGCGGCACGTGCGCGGCCCAAAAGGGGGGGGGCCAGTGAGGTAGTGAAATCAGAAGAGGCGCCATGAAATCTGGGGAAATGTCATGGCCCCCGCCATGATATCCACCCCCCCCTAGTCATCACCCCCCTCTTTGCCGACCCCGAAGGCCCGCCGACAGAGCCCGCACGCCGGGAGCCTTGAGACAAAACTGCTGCGGATCCGCCAGCGTGCCCCAGAGTACGCAGCGAAGCGGCAGCATGTCGTGGCTGCCTGGCGGGGCTTCTGTCGTTTTCTTAGGCCCCCCCATCCTCGTATCCAGCTGCGTGCATCCCCCCCTGAGGAGGCTCCCTGGGCATCTCGCGACGCCACCTAGGTAGTATCCAAGGCCTCCAAGGTTCTCAAGACAACGTCCAAGACGGCCCAAGAAGTTTACCAAGGCCTCCAAGATGGCCCTAGGTTGCCTCAAGATGCACGCACCAATCATCAGGAAGACTCCAAAACCCAAGAAGCGCCCAAGAGGCATGTGAGCGCCAAAGAAGTTCTACGAAGTCTTCCAGGGGCCCTCCAGGGGAGCCTCTCAGAAGTAACGAATTCCTCAGCCCTCCTCCCTCCCTCCCTCCCTCCCTCCCTCTGCTCGCAGGTGTCGTCAACAGGGGCAGCAGATGGGAAAGGGAGAGGGAGGGAAAGGGAGAGGGGGGAGGGCGCGGGGAAGAGGTCCTGCTTCTTCCTCCCCCCCCCTGCCGGACCGCGAGGCGTACCCAAAGCGCGCAGGCCGCAGCCCTTGTGGGCCCTCCTGGGGCACCTCCGCCCTCTCGGGCCTCCCTGGCGCAGCCGGCCCGCTCCGCCCTCCTGGGCCCCGAGCCGAGCGCAACCTGACGCGCCACCGACTAGGCACGGAGACGCGGCTGCGCAGGCAGAAAGGGAGCCACAGTGGCACGGCGGCCTCCGGCCGGAATGCCTGGCGGTGGCAGGCGCCAGGGCTGCGGGGAGGGAAGGGGGTGAGCGGAGGGAGCGGGAGGGGGAGCAGGGGGGCGGGCACTGCAGTAGCAGCACGAGTGCAATACGAGCACGAGCGACGGAGCGGCCGATCAACAGCAGGAGCAGGAGCAGGAGCAGGAGAAGCGGCAGGGGCAGCTGCAGCAGCAGCAGCAGCAGCAGCAGCAGGAGCAGGAGGAGCAGGAGCAGCAGGAGCAGGAGCAGGAGCCGGAGCAGGAGCAGGAGCAGGAGTCAAGCCAGCCAGCTCGAGCAATTCGGCGGGCCCTGCGCATTCACTCGCACCCTCCCAATGTTATGATTTTCGATCATGGCACAGCGGGAAATTAGAGCTGGTGCAAGTTCCTACCCAGCAAACGGAAGGCAGTCGCGCGCGCGCGACTCCATTTCCGACGCCTCGGCGAAGGAGAAAGAAAGTGCCGCATCATTTCGGGAACGCAACTTTGAGATGAAAGCAGCACACCGCTCAGAGGCGTGCGGCGCAACTTCCAGTAAGACTGGCGATCGGAAAACATGCGCCGCGCCCAAGCGGGAACGCAACTTCCAAGAAAACCTGCGCGGCGTTTGGGTGTAAGCGGCATTCGCTCTCTATCGCTCTCTCTCTCTCTCTGGCTTTGAACAGAAATCAGAGCGACGCAGGGGCGAGAGACGCCTCGCCCTTTTCGATCGCGATGTGCACCACATCCCGCTCCCGCCGCGCATCCTGGAAAGTCGACGATAACACGTGCACGTGAAAAAGACAAGAGTCGACGTTAAGCTGTGATATGGGTAAGAGGGCCCAGGCCCCGGCCTCTACTGGACCGAAGACGAAGGAGGTTGCAGTACATCAGCCACCGTGCCGCTAGGCTCAGGGAGTGTTCTCGTGTCCCTTCGACACCCCAGCTGGATACTCCAAGGGTCCTGGTCCCCCGAGTCCAGAAGCAGTCCAGGAGCATCGCAGCCCAGGCAAGCTCTACCGGGAGCGGGACCGCCGAGCCGCCGGGGCTGTGGCCGGGGCCGACGCCTGGGACAAGGCCAGGACCCCGTCCCAGAACGAAACTGAATCAGTCACACACAGGTTCCACAGTCGACACCAAACGTGTCCACCCGACACGCCAAAAGCGTGCCGCGGCGGTAGCTGTGCGAAGCTGTCCAGCGGGCGTGGGCGAAAGGAGGACCTGTCCGAAGCTGTCCGCCTGGCGTCCTCGCTCGAAGTCGAGCCATGCCTCGTGCGCCGAATCGCCAGGCCGCTCCAGCGGCGCGGCTGCTGTCCGGGCGGAGGAAACAAATCCGGAATTCGCGGTCAGAAGCTGTCCGGCGACTGTGGCCGAGACACGACTCGGACAAGGAGGCGGAGGCGGAGGACGAGGAGGAGGAGGAGGAGGAAGAGGAACGAGGGGGAACAAAAATAACGCGGCGAGCAGACGCCAACATGCAGGAGGAGAGGGAGGGCAGCAGAAGCAGCAGCGAGCAAGCAGGGCAGAGAGGGCAGCAAAGGCAGCAGCAGAGGCAGCAGGTCCCCCGAGTTCTGGGCGGCGCGTGGGCTTGCCGCGTGACCTCTCAGGGGCGTGTCGCATGACTCTTCCAGGAGCCTCGGGTGCGCAGCTCATGACATGGTGTTCAAACATGCCCCAAGATCTCATCTCGGGTCCTTCCTGGAGGTCTCCTGGGATCTCTGGGCCCGTTTGTGGCGCCCTCGGGGACCCCAGGGGCAAAAGCTGTCAAAACATTAATTATGGACAAATTGTCGCAAATTTGCCCCTCTGTATTTATATGCTCTGGGACGGCCCGAGGAGCCTCAAAGATCACCCGGGCCCAAGAGCCCCCCAGAGGGGCCCAAGAGGCCCAACAAGACGGCCCCAAGAGGTGGTACTTTGAAGGGGCCATCGAAACCTCTGCACCCAACATGCACCCCAAGACCCCCACCATGACCCCTAAGAAGACCCCAAGAGATCCCCCAGATGCCACCGGCCCCCACAGAGGCCTCCGAGAGGCCCCAGCAGACAGGGGGACGTCTCTGCATTTGGCCCTCCGCTGGCAAGTCGATCGCGTCGGAGGGCTGGCAGCCGTTACCATCCTGGCTCGAAGCGCACCGAAACCCCGGACACCTGAAGAGAACCGATGGAAACCTGAGCAGAGGCCTGTGACGCGGCGAGACCGTGTCATGCGATACACCAGGGTGATGGTTGGATGTATGAAGAAACGC